AAAGTTCAAGAAAAGCGACTGGCCGTCTCAGAATCTAATCAAAATATCTTAATCCATAGATTCTCTGATTTTATAACAAAAAGAAAGTTATTGAGATGGATGAGGCGCGCAACTTATCAAGTCCGAGTTTGCTGGAGGAAATTAACTCATTTCCCAGCAGAGATTATTTTTGCCATGCTAAATTTATTCGTCCGCATTGCAGAACTCGAATTTCCGAAGCAGCGGACAGAAGCCAAAAATATTTGACAGATGATTACATTTTTAATTAAATTAAATAATTTTTTATCAATCGGATTTTGACCCAGCCAAAATCTTCGAGAGTCGGGCACGCCAATTTTCACTTTAAATCTGCCCGGAAATGGCGATAAACGTGCCGCAATTAAAATCGCGGCGCCGTCTCGAAGCAACGATTTGAATTCTTCGGCCAGCCAACTTCTTGCATATTTAAAACAATTTTGCTCTCTGTATGTTATCTGGGGTTTATGCGCAGATTGGGAGCTTAAATTGGGTTTTCGCTATGCTGTCATTTATGTACCATTCGTTATGGTTCATAACGGTACTGGTACGAAGAAAAAAAATTTCGGCATCTAAAGTCATAGTTGTATTCCAGAGTTACCAAATTGGGTGATAAAAATAAATTCCTGAAAACCACGCAGTCGTGCGAACTCCGAACGAACGAAGAGTTTTTAATGAAGCCTTTTCAACGAAGCCAACGATTTGTCGCGTTCGTATCTAGCACATTGCGTTTCAGTTATAAATGCATTTGAATATCTCTGGAAGTACTGCTACTGGTACTTGCTGCTGTTTGAGTTGAACGGTGAAACATTTGAATATGCGAAATGATTTGAGTCAAAGGCTTTGTCCTTTAAGGAGGGAAAGAAGATGGATTGAGACCGGGGGAACGATGGTGACCGCGGTGGCCACCATGCCACCACCTTATAAAAAATCTACCATGGGTTAACCTATGAGTTAACATGGGTTAAAATGGAACAACATTGGTTAACCTAGGTTGGTGCCTCCGTTAACCTAGGTTAACCTAGGTTGACGTCCTCATTAGCATGCATCGCCTTCATATGTTAACATAGGTTAACCTACCTTGTGTGTTAACACAGTTCCATTTTCATCTATGGTTCAACTTTTTTTTAAAGAGATGGTCTCACCACGTCCAACCCACCCTCACTCTCAATTCATATATTTCCTCTGATCCCTAAAGGACAAAGTCTTCGAGTGAAATCCATGGACCTGAAGGCGGTCACGGATGGCGAAGTCAACTCCATTTCCCTGGATAATCTGCAGTGCCATTGTGCAGAATTACGCCCGCAGCATGTAATTGAGCTCGGAGAATGGCAAATTGAACATGCTTTTCCATGGAGTATAGTTTTGCCATGTTTATGGATTCTTGGTGGGAAATTTTATGTACTTGGCTTCATTTGTTCCAAGATGATAAATATTTATCATGGTCCCATGAGTAAAAATATCACTCTACAGGTATTATCTTTGTTGCTGGAACAATCCAGTCCATAAATAACTCTTCTTCTGTATAATAATAATAATAATAATACTTTTTTTTCTACAAAAATTTTATTTGAGGTTGAAAATATCCCACTCCGACATCGGAGCGACAACTTTTCAGAATACTGAAGCGAGGATAAAACGGAAAGTGCGCTTCAATCTCGTCCCGGACCTTTTCACCTTTCATCCGCCTTCCATCCACCTTTCACCCACCTTTCATCCGTGCTCTCTTCCGAGGCTGGGGGGAAAAAAGCGGAAGATTTGAGACCGATTGAAAAAAGTCGGAGACTGCGAGGTCTTGGATGTGCACCGCATCTCTTCCAATTCCTTTTGTTTTGTCTCATAGTAACCAGGTTGAGGCAAGTTGCGAGCTCGACAGAAATTAATTGGAAGTAAGGGGCTCGTGGTGCATGCCACAAGAAAAGGACCAATTAATAGACTTTTTTAAATCGGTACTCGCATATAATTACTTATACATGCTCATAATAAAATTAAGAATCGCATTCATGCAAACGATTAAATATGTGAAATGATAAAATATGTGAAAAAAGGTCTCACATCAGACTATTCCTTTGAGGTTGGAAAAGCTGTCGAGTTCGACGACGGACGTGGTGTGAATCCTTTTCCTCTTGCGGTTCTTGCCCGGGTCGTCGGTCGGTGACCCCAACTTGCCCTGCCCGCTTCCAGGCCCAGCCTGCTTCTTCAGGATCGGGGCGGAAGCGGCGGTTGGACTCGTCGAGGACCGCTTAGTGCTAGGTTTGGCGGCAGTAATCGCGGCGGTTGGATTCGTCGAGGAACGCTTCGTGCCGGGTTTGGCGACGGTTGGACTAGCCGAGGACCGCTTCGTGCCGGGTTTGGCGACGGTTGGACTCGCCGAGGACCGCTTCGTGCCGGGTTTGGCGGCTGTAGTTGCGGCAGTCGGACTCACGGTGGACCTTTTGCGTTTCGAAGCCGCAGTGAAGGCAGTCGGACTCGCCGAGGACCTCTTGGTCCCTGGTTTCGAAACGCCTCCGGAGCCCTTTCCGGACAAACTGGGAATTGCCGCTTTGAGCACGGCGTGGTTCCGGTGGGAGATGGGGATCCGGATCTGCACCTTCTTCGAAACCGATCTCCTCCGAGGGGGTTCCTTTTGGCCGCTACTCTGTCGCGAGACGCCCTCGCCCGAATCCTCCCCCAGGAGTAATTCCTCGTCGTCTTCTCTCGGCCCGATGGAACCGGGGATCTCGACAACCAGCCTGGAAGTGGAGGCAAAATGAACCGATTTCTTCGCCCCCCTCTCGTGATCTTCGAGTCGCGGAGGATCTTCCACGACGATGACGAGGGCGGGAACCTTCGGCTCCTCCTTCACCGGAGTGGGAGTCTCCTCGACCTCCACCACTCGGATTCCATCGCTCTCCACGGAGCCTTCGCTGCTCGCCGTCACGTCGACGACGAGGAAGTTGTCGCAGAGTTTCTGCACGAACTCGGGCATGACTGCCCAATGGGTTCTGGAGGTTTCCTGCCTGTGACGAGTCTGTTGCCTTCCCTTCTTGGAGCCGTATTCGCTGTCCGGGGTCCTCAAGTAGAGACCCTCACTCATCGCGAAGAGAAGGGGTGTCTTGAAATTCACCTGGGATCTCCTCTTCCTCTTCCCATTGTTCTCGAAGTCCTTGTACTTGCTGCCGTTGAGGCGACGGGGTAGAGTGGCGGATATGGCCCTGGTCGCGGCTGCTTTGAAGATGAAGTCGCTGCTCCAGCACGCGACCAACGATGCCGATTTCGCCCTTAAGTCTCCGTGGAGAAGGTAAACGGCCAAGGGAAACATGACGACGAAGAGAAAGCGAAGCCAGGTAAAGGCCATCTCAATCTGGTTTCCGGGGACTTCCGGTAAAACATTACTGTCGATGCCGCTGACGTTTGCCGCCGTCGAATTCCGTGGTATCGGGCGGGTCGTCCTCATGATGTTCTCGACTTCGACCAGAATCATGTTCGGGAGAGGAAAAATCAGGAAAATTATCAACACCAGCCCGGCAGTTCGACTCGGCATGGATTCTTGAATGAGTTTCGGAGTCTTGAAGATCAAATTTGAAACGGTTTGACCTCGGGGTCGAACGCTCCGTTGATCCTCCTCGTGCTCCCTCTTGATGTAACAGACGACGAGGACGAAGATGACGCCGATCGTGAGAAGAGGAACCCCGAGCCCAGCCGCCGCGATCGCGATCTCCATGACCCGAGCGACCGGATCTAAGAGGACACACGCGTACCTCGCCTCGGAGGGGAAACAGGTGAAGAGCCCCAAGGGGATGGGGACCAGGCACACGAAGACGAGACACCAGGTCGCAAGGCACAGGATTTGGACCTTCGTGGACGTCACCATCTTCCGAAACTGGACGTGATGCTTGAAGGTGAGGTATCGCTCCAGAGTGAGGTAAAGCATGAAATAGACGAGAATGATGGGGACGACTCGACAGAAATAGACGTTGATGTTGCACGGGAGCATGGAGTTGGAGTACCAGATGGTTCTGGATCTATAGGCGATCCCCATGGTGATATTCAGACAGATCTCGAAGAGATTGAGGAGGGCGATCTGGAATAGGATGGCGACGTTCGGAACCAGCCGAAGCTTGATGCTCGAAGCTACGGTGACCACGATGAGGAAGTTGGAGCAAAATCCCACCAAGACGATGAAAACGAGGAAAGCCGTCTCAACGATGTAATTATCGTTTTCCGTCGTCTGAACCTGCAGGTGGCAATTTTTCATATTTTGGTCGCACACAAAATACAGATGATACTCTTGTCCCATTGCTCCCCGAACACCGAAGAAGCAAAAAACCACGGAAGAAAGCAGAAATTCGAGACTGGACGCCATTTCGTCCGGCACGACGAACACCCCAGACTGAAGTCGGACGAAGCTACGTTTTGCAATGCAGGCCCTCGCATCGACCTGTGATGATCGGTGTCGAGGCTATTTACACGTTGCTATGGAGTCCGCTGGAGCCTTCCGTGCACAACTCATCGACAATCAATATCGTACCACTTCGCAGGCACGGTATCGCCTTGGCTTCACCTTCACCTTTATTTCGCATCCAGCTCTTGTCTGCCTCGCTGCCACTCAATTATTCAGCGACTCGGACCCCACAATCTCGTTAAAAGTATATGCACGAAGTAACAACAAACGGATGAATCATCCACGAGGAAAAGGTGAACTCTCGTCCGATCCGCACCTAATATTTTATCTTGTCAACCTGAAATATTAAGGTTTGAAATTTTTTTCCTCGTGTCCTAAAAAAAAAAAATTTGAGAAAAAGAGAAAGTCATTTCGATTCAACTCTTAAAAAAAAAAAAAACTGCAAGCAGCGGCACATGTGAGGACCCCCAAGAAAGTACAGACGACGGTGGCTCAGATGCGAGTGGAAAATCGATTCCGCCCACTACATCGACCAACGGGTGAATGGGACCCTGAGACCCCCTCTGTCACGGCATGGCCACGCCCAACTTTCACCTTTTTTTTTCAGTCTCGCTAACTCGTTAAATAGAGTGCCGTCCCTAGCCCCCACAAAAAAAATTACTGAAGAACTTGTGACATGAATTTTTCTCCTATCGGGAGGCTTTGCATTAAGCTGATTTATTCTCACGAAGGGGCACCGTATGGCATTTTGTTCCTTTTGGACGATTTGCCATGGAAACGGAATTTCTCGTTTCAACCTTTCCCCGTGGCTACAAAGGTAGAATATATTGAAACTTTGAACCTCATCGAAACTTTTTTCTTCTTCTTTTGGAAAACCTTTGGTATCAAGAGGATGGTTAGATCATACCAGGGAGGCCCAGACAGAATTGTTTTTAACCCTCTTCCCTGACCTTTACCCTAGTTCCTCTCCTACGCGCTTAGACGTGCACGCACGTATTCGTATTGTACGCGAAATACCCAAAGATATGCTGAGCGCTGCGACGCAGTTTTGAACGGTTGAACCAAAGTCTGAATAAAATCCACCGCAGAATGATCACTGCTTCAAATTACAATTATCGAAATGCACAATATACAAATGGACCTTGAATGGATCTTTAAGAACCTTTAGGAAGGAACCTTTCTGCCTCTTTTCGTGGCCACTTTTGCCTAAAACATTCAAAACATCGTCCAATATGCAAATTAACCTAATTTCAATATTTTAATGAGATCACCGCTGTAATTAGTCAACTAATCGGTCGGCATAGTTACATTTCCATGGGAAATGTGCCTCATGAATGCATTTATGGGACAAAACATGCTTCAGGTGATCAAAAACTGTTTTCAGTCTCCGAGACCGATCGGGCAAGAGGAAACCCTTTCAAGTTCGTAGTCCATGCAACTTTCGTTTAAATTTCGTGTTTTGCATGTTTTGAAGCGGTTTCACGCCGATAACTGGAGAGAGGGAGCCCGCTCTCGTGAGGCGGTGGGACCTGAGGTTCAATGGCAATGGTCGGTGGAAGAAGGTAAAAAAGGAAAAAAACTGTCTGGAGGTAAATTATAAGGGATCGCCGGTGTTGGAAGTGAAAGTAACGCGTTACAAAATCCAATTACATTTTACGGTAGTTTCAGCAGTTACGAGTTAAGGGCGTTTCACACTTAACGTGTCATGCGTCCTTTCCGCGGATGCACGCAAGCCACGCGTTTTTTTTTTACCCTTGAATAGTGGACACGGTCTTGAATAGTGGACACGGGCGCGTCTGCCTGCAAGGACGCATGATACGCAAGGTGTGGAACGAACTTTAGCTTGCAGGGAGGAGTAACGGGATCAGTGACTGGTTCCTTCTCCGAGGAATACGTCAGTGGCATTACTGTAACGCGTCATTTTCTTGATGACAGACCCAACTTGAGATAAAAGTGACGAGCGCTGCATCACAACTTTTATACCCTTATAACAATTTCTTCTGCCAGCTTTGAGAGCAGTTTTAAGAGCAGATCCCCATCACAAGCGAGTGCATCCCGCGCTCGTAACTCCGGGGAGCGCGCCAGCCGAAGCTTTTGGCACCCTCGCACGAAAAGACGGAGCTTCATTTCCTGGAAGTACTTTCGCCGGACACAAATCCTCCATGGAGGAGACTAATCGCGCCGGACATGAGTCCTCCATGGAAGAGATCCCCCGTGCCGAGCTTCTTTCGTGCTTCTGCACCGACTTGTGTAAAGCTAGGATGGAAATTTCCGTGTCATTCACCGGGATGCTGCCAGAATGAAGGCCAGTTCCACGACGAGGAATTTGTTAATTGAAAAGTAACGTACTTCTAATACTACTAATTACTTCTAGGATAGAATACTTGTAATTGCAACTATTTGCTTTTCACATGCAACGCGCCCAGCGCCGGTCAAGGCGATGCGATTCTTTTTTTCCATCCGACGTTTCCGCAAGAGGATTAATGGCGACCGATTTTTCGCGATTTTCGCGTCTTGCGAAACAACTGAAAAAACCTTAAAAAACCTTTAAAAAAAAAACTCGAGACGGAGACAGATGCGCGCTCTCACGAAAGCCTGAAAAATGGAAACCTCTTGCCGCAAGGCGTTGCGTAACCGCCTTCCATCGGCGAAATGGAAGAAGGTGGGATTTGTCTCCGTTCCCGTTCCACACGTGCCACGGCGGTGGAAGGAGTCGATGCAACCGCCTTCGGCAATCGTTTTTCACATTGATCGCCATTTTTTTGCAATGCTACATAAATTAGAATGAGCTAGTATCCCCTAAACGGCCGTGTGACAATTTGATTGAAACCATTATTAGCCCAGTTTCCAAAAGCAATTAAGAAATATCATGTATAGTGAATAAATGCATTGAAGAACTCATTTCAATGACACGCAACTTACCGGCATCGCAGAGTGCCAGATTAGCAATCAAAAGAAGATAATGAACCTCGAGAAGGCGAAGGGAGCCAGAATATATTTTTTTTAAATGCCAGTATAATCCAGCTCAGCATTTATAATATATAAAAAAAACGATTTTGGTACGACGCGAAATAAACAAAGAGTAAAAGCAGAAATATTTTCAGAGGGGGAATTCACAAAAATGTTTGCATTTTATTTGCATCGTATTTCGCACTTGTGCGCACCACAATGAGCATAACTTCGAGGTCTGAAGAGATATTTCTCCGGAAGCAAATGATGAATTATTGTGTTCATGTGAGACGATGATGGAAGATTATCTTTCGAAATATTATTATTGGTACGAAACGGTACTAATATGGAAATCATGCTAATGTAATGATTTCACTTTAGAAGACTGAAGGATTTAAAATGATTTTAAAACTTCCAGACGGGCATTTAAAAGCTGTCAAGCGTGCATGCACTTGAATCATCTTTTTAAATGCAGTTCGGCAGCTACACAAATAGGGGAGAAAGTGTCTCCGACGGCGGAACCCAATGAAACCACGCTCGCTCCCGATTTTTACCGAAGTTTTTATTTCGGCAAGTCAAAACTTCCCAGTGGTGAAGAAGGAAAAGGGGGTGGGGAGGAGAGTTGGGGGGGGGGGGGGGGGGGGGTGGTGGGGGGGGGGTGGGGGGGGGGGGGGGGGGGGGGCAGTCTGCTCGAAAGACTCGGTTTGATTGGAGGTCTGGCAGTCTTGGTACGAGCCAAGTGCGACTCTCGTCCTGCCACGTGAGGTCCTTTTTGCTCTGAAAGATGTAGAAATTGTGAGGGTCATTGCGGATATCCGTCTAGGGACGGAGAACGTCTATGGTAGGATGCGGGAATCGTATTTCCAATTTTTACCAACAAGAATTTCCAAAATTCGTGCAAGATTTTGCAAATTTGAATGTTGAATTGAATTGAATGAAAACTCACATCAGATTAATCCTTTTAGGTTGGAGAAGCTGTCGAGTTCGATGACGGACGTCGTGCGAACCCGTTTCCTCTTACGATTCTTCTCCGGATTGCCGGTCTCAGTCCCTACTTCGTACTGCCCACTTCTGGCTCCAACCTGCTTCTTCGGAGTGGAAACCGAGGTGGGACTCGCAGATGACCTTTTTTTGGCAGGTTTGGAGGCGGCAGTAGGACTGGCCGAGGACCTCTTGGTTCCCGGTTTCGCTATGCCCCCCGAGCTCCTTCCCGGAGTTTTGGGATCGGTCACTTTGGGCAGAGAGTAGTTGCGGCGGGTGATCGGGTTCTGGTTCATCAGTTTGGTGGAAATCTGGAACTTTCTTTTTAGAGGAGGTTTGTCGTAATCTCTACTCTCTCGCGAAACGCTATCCCCCGAACTCTCCCGGATGAGGTCCTCGTCGTCTTCGTCATCGCTCGGTTCCAAGGAACGGGGGATCACGATGACGAGCCTCGAAAAGGAAGGGAAATGCACCACCTTCCTCGTCGCCTTCGCCGCATCGACCGGAGGCAGAGGATCTTCATCCACTTGGGTGGTGTCCGTCTCCGCATCCTCCTCGTCCAGAGCGGGAAGAACCTCGACCTCCTCCACTTCGGTCCCATCGCTCTCCACGAAGCTCTGGTGACTCTCTACCATGTCGACGACGAGGGAGTTGTCGCAGAGTTTCAACACGAAGTCTGGCATCTCTGTCGTCCACTGGGATTTCGAGAATTCCAGCACTTGTCGAAGCTGTTGCTTTTCTTTCTTGGAGTCGTGTTCATCGTCCAGGATCCTCAAGTAGAGACCCTCACTTAGTGCGAAGAGGAGCGGAGTCTTGAAATTCACCTCGGATTTGCTCTTCTTCTTCTTCCCTTTCCCTGGAACCCTGGACACGCTGGCATTGAGGCGACGGACTGGGTTAGCGGATATGGCCCTGGACGCGTCTTTTCGGAATATGAAGTCGTTGCTGCAACAAGCTACCAGTGACGCTGATTTCGACCTCATGTCTCCATGAAGTAGGTAAACGACCAAGGGAAACATGATGACGAAGAAAAAGCGAAGCCAGGTAAAGGCCATTTCCAGCTGGTTTCCGGGGACTTCTGGTAGTATATCATTTTGGACTCCGTTGTTATTCGATGATGACGTTGATGGTGACGTCAAGGATGACGTCAAGGGTAGCGTCCCAGGCCGGGATTCTCTCATGATGTTCTCGACTTCGACCAGAATCATGTTCGGGAGAGGAAAAATAATGAAGATTAGAAGTACCAAGCTTGCAGTCCGACTGGGCATGGATTCTTGTAAGAGCTTCGGGGTCTTGAAGATCAAGTTCGAAATTGTCTGACCTCGGGGTCGAGTGCTCCGCTGATCCTCCTTGAACTCCCCATTGATGAAGTGAACGATGAGAAAGAAAAGAATGGCAATCGCGATCAAAGGTAGCCCCAACCCTGCAGCCGAGATCGCGATCTCCATGATCCGAGCTTCCGGATCAACGAGGACGCAAGCGTACCGCGCCTCGGAGGGGAGACAATAATAAAACCCCAAGGGGATGGTGACCAAGCCCCCGAAGACGAGACACCAGGTCAAAAGGCACAGGATATGGACTTTGGTTGCCGTCACCGTCTTTCGGAGCCGGATGGGGTGTTTGAAGGCAAGGTATCGCTCCAGGGTGAGGTACACCACGAAATAGACGAGAATGATGGGAACGACTCGACAGAAATAGACGTTGATGTTGCACGGGAGCATGGAATTGATGTACCAGACGGTCCTGGACTTGTAGGCGATCCCCATGGCGATATTCAGACAGATCTCGAAGAGATTGAGGAGGGCGATATGGAACAGGATGGCGACGTTCGGAACCAGCCGAAGCTTGATGCTCGAAGCCACGGTGACCACGATGAGGAAGTTGGAGCAAAATCCCACCAAGACGATGAAAACGAGGAAAACCGTCTCCACGATGTAGCTATTGTCTGTCGAAATCCTAACTGTCAAGTGACATGCTTTGTTCTCGTCGCACTCGATATACACGTTATAGTTCTCTCCCCGCACGCCCAAAATACTGAAGATGCAAGGAAGCCCACAAAAAAGCAGAAAGCGGAGACAGGACGGCATTTTGTCGAACACCTCAGACCCCAGCCGATCCCAGGGGAAATACGTGCCTGTATCGGGGAGCTCGATTCGATGGTGTCCATGTCCATATTTATGGGTTGCTATGGACTCCATTTTCCTGACGAAGGAACACGATTGCCGATCGATACCGTGGTACGCTTTGGGCTTTCCATATCGTTCTCTTCATCGACACCTTCGTTACTTACCCTATATTCTTCTGCTCGATTGGAGCTCAATTATTGCGTGACACTGGGTCCCTGAATTATATTAAAGTCCCACCCACATCTCTATATGCAACGACATGCGTGGGAATTATATGCGTCGAAAGGCAAGTTTGTTCATTTTTTTTAGCGCTTATTGTTCGAAAGCTTTTTCCTCGAGAGGACAGGTTGGCAGTTCCTCGATCTTCTCACAGTTCTTTCCGTATGTCTCCGGAGAGGAAGGAGAAAAGAGCAACCGCCATTCACACCCACGATGAACAAGATAGGACGACTTGCAACATTTCGCTTCTTTCGAACGGTCCAACTGGAACCTCGTTCACCTGCTCTCCCGAAAATCCTGGAAGTGATTGATCTGAGGGCTTCGGCATTTTTTTTTGTGCCAACGAGGAAAGCAGAGCTCTCGCTTTATTTGCCGAGACTTTTCTAATTATCGACGCTGGATCTAGGTGAAAGGTGAAAGACGAAAAGGGCCTTGGAATCATCCGTTAGGGTTTGACCACGCCCAGATTCCTCGCGAGTTTTTTTTTTTAAGCATTCCGGTTCGATATACCCGAAAATGGAGTCGGGTCCTCTCTCTCTTTTTTTTTCCTATTCGTCTCAGTTATCGATCTTCCCCCAGGTAAGAGGGAAAGGGCGGCCCTCGACTCCGCACTGCAAGAAACATGATGAATGATCCAGAAGAAAAAGAAATCTCTTTCTTCTCCACTTCTTCTCCCACGATCAAGTGAGAGTGAGAGAGAGAGAGAGGAGGTTTTCATTCATGGATTCGTTCCATTCTCTTCTTCCGGAAGCAGGTTCATGCCGAGAGGGAGTGGAGGTGGAAAATGCCTCCAATTATTCCTTTGCTGTCCCCGTCGGCTTCCCAAGGAATTCCGGGATTACAATGTAATAAAAAGGCTCGGCTGGCGACCGAAAGGATTAGGTAAAGCGTGTCTTTGCCATTGTGTGCCATGGGAAAGTCTGACGGGGAGAGCGGCCTTTCCTTTTTTTTTTCTTTCTTTTCCTTGCCCCCTTCGATATCCTATATATATGTATGTATATAAGTAGTCTTTTCTTCCACTCCCCCCCCCCCCCCAAAAAGGGGGGCGGTTTTTGGGGGGTCTCCTCCCACACGGCTGAAACCCGAGGCCGGTCTCTCAGGAATCGGATACCATGGAGACTTCCCCGTTCCTCCGTTCCCACACATTTTTCATCAGATTTTTCCTCGTCTTCGCCGTCTTCTGGGGTCTTGGGCTCTCTTTCGCGAACTTTCTCCGACGTTGTTTCGCTTCGCCTTTCCATTTTCCGCGGCGATTTTTTTTTAAACTCGGGATCTCGTGGGAAAAGCGGTCCGAAAATGTATTTTACATAATAGTTATCTTGAAAGAATTTAGTGAAGGCAAGCGAATCGAGCAATGGAGGCGAATCCCCTGAAGCCTTCGCTTCGAAAAATTCCGTTCGGGGCAAAAATTTCCACAATCCCACCGATTTCGTCGCCTAAAAGTAATAATAAAATTAAATATGCGAAGCCGGCTATCGCCCGATCGGGTTGGAAATCTGGATTGCGATTCCTTGTCTCTCCGGCATGCACAATAAGACATATTTCAGCCTCGGTCTTCGAGCAACAGGTTCCAAGAAGGAAAAGGCCGCGCCAGCCCACTTTTTACAACTAGATCGGGTCGGACAGAGAGCAGGTTTCCATCTCCGTCTGCCAACGCTTTATGCTACAAGGTTTATTCTTATCCCACAAGGTTTATTCGTATTCTACAAGGTTTCCTAAGCCTTCTGGGAGGGCTCCAATCAGAGTTGTGCCTTCGGTCTGGTATCCCGCGACCATATCTTCAACATAATGGGGAAATCATCGTCGATTAGGAGTCCCGCCGCATGCAATCGTGACGCACAGACCAACAAATGTAGGCTTATTTGTCGGCTTTTATGTCGGCTTCGCGGTATCCTTCGAAGGGCATGCTATCGGTCGTGACCCGCGATAGCGTCTCTCACAAAGCATCATGCCCCATCGTCCCCCATCGTCCCCGAGCGATAGTCGTCTCCTCACAAACGTCCCGACGAATGCGGATGACTAAATCGATATACGAAAGAATGAATGAATGAATAATAATTTTTTTTTTACTTCTGAACACGATGAAGAGGTCCTTCACCAAGATGCGCTATAAATTTCCTGCGACCGGAAGGAGCTATTAAAGGCTCGGAAGCAAGGACTTGACCCTGATGGAGTCACAAGGAGTTTTTTTTTTTTTTTTCCCCTGACCCGGGCATGGTAAAAGTTTACGCACGGCTGATTCCTCAACGACCCCCGAGTTCGTGTGAATCCGAAAAAATTCCAACTTCCTTTTTTTCCTTTGTCAGTTGGCGGCGGAAGTCTCTCGAAAATGTGAAACTTCTCATAATTATCATTTTTTGTATTTAATGGCAGGGCCGGGGGGGAAACACCGGCAGGATATACAGGCATGCAATCATAATTCTCCAATGATTGTCATAATGAGACGGGACAGCGTGGGAAGCAAGAAAAAAAAGGAATATTGAGACACAGCGGATCTGGCCTCTGGGGAATTTCATCCATTCATTCCTTCATTCATTCGAGGAATGGTAATCGGTGCTCATTTTCTAATAATTCTGGTCTTGTCATTAGTGGCTGGGGGGCAAATGAGAACAAAGGCCTCATAAATATGATTCTGCACCGGAAGAAGGCAAACGTTTTTTTCCTCCTTGTCGGCAAGATAAAATAAAGTACTCTGTCCCACAATGTCAATAGATAAAGTTGCAAGTACAGACTCAAACTTTCACACGCTGTAGCACCCTCTGTATTTAGAAGCCTCTCCAGCCAACAAGGCATCCAATATTCCTTTGTGCCAAGGGGGGGGGGGAGAAGGTCCACGCCCTGATCCCTATCTTCGCACTTAAGAGGTGGGAGGGGGCAAAGGAAGGGGCAAAGGAGGGGGCAAAAAAGGGAAAATCCGGAGAGTGAAGGAGAAAATGCCAAAGGGGAGATGAGAAAATTTCGCCCTTCCAGGCGTCTTCGTTCCGACACAAAAAAGGCGACGGAGGGGGGGTGATTAATCTGATCTAATTAATGGGAGAATGATTGAAGAATCTCTGAGGGAAGGGGTCAGGAGGTCTCGGCTACTAATGATAGACGGGCACGCTTTTACCCACTCTTAATTGGGTCACGCAGCTCCAAGGAATTCTTCTCACGAGATGAAAAAAGAAAGGGAAACAAAAGCGAAGATTTTTGTCCCTCACCAGTGGCGCAGAGGTTGATGAAGATGCGGGCGTGCCTCTTGACCATGGGGGTGTCAGGAGCGTCTGAGGAGGGTAACTTCCTGACCATGTAGTCGACGAAGTCGTGCGCCGTGATCGCGTTCAGGTCCCATTTCAACCGCGCCAGCACGAGGATCTCCCAGTCCTGCGGCGAGAGGAATGTGAAACGTTTTGGGTTGAAACAAAACGATACCCAATCAGCAGAATCACAAGAAACAATTACTGAACCGAAAACTCATTTTCACGCCAGAACGGAAATACCAGGAAAGCGATGGAATGCAAATGGTAAAAAATAAAATCTCTCCCCCACCCCATCCCACCCACCGACATTTGTCATCAAAAGAAGTTTAAGGAGAGAGAGCGAGGAGACACCTTCTTGGCCGTGTTTGTTGTTTACCGCATCTCGGGAGTTTTTCCCCATAAATCATCCCAGGGTGTGGGCGTTTTCACTTTCCAAAACGATCGATAATTCCCTCTCTTTACTACAAGGATCCTTCCTTCTCTTCCGCCATATGTCTTCTCCCGTCTCTCGGCGCGAGTGAATGCAAATGAAGAAGGCAGATGTGCGGAAGAATCTCGGTCGAGCGTCATTAAGTACGGCTGCCCAGCTGCCTCGTTTTGGCACAAAAGAGGCTTCCCTCTCGTCTCCTTGGTTCAACCCCCCCCCCCCCCTCCTCCCCCCTTTTGGAACGAAGGAGTTGGATCACTGAAGAAGCCCGTTGGAGGACGAGAGATAAACGATGTCTCCGAGGAATGGCGGCAGACTTCTTACATCGTTTCATCATCAGTCCCATCCTCTATCGATGATCCATCTCTGTAAACAGCCGTCTCTCCCACGTAAGCGAACGGGGCAACAATCTTGGAACCTCCCCCGTCGCCACGGAATGAATGAATGAATGGGAGAGGAAGGTCTTGAAATGGAAGCCGGTGTGAATGGTATTCTTTTCCTGGGATATGTATAGACGTAGGCGCCAGTCGCACGGGAAATGCGTCTCGCCCTGCATGAATTATTATAATGCCCTTCATTCCTTCCTTTCGGGGTCATCGCGGTGCAAACCGGCTACCACGGTCTGGATTCCTGGAAGGGAGAAAGTGCCCTTGGAGTCCTTGTTTGACCGAAGCCATCTGCGATGGGAGGTTCAGGGTCAATAAAAACCTTGGGTCTTTAAAGGAAGCGAAGGAGTCTCAGGAAGGACGGCCAGAAGGTAAGGTAAGGAGAAGGAAAAAAAGAAAAAAAAGGAAAAGAGCAAGGTCGACTTGACATTGAATTCCTTGCTAGCAGCCAGCCCGGCCGAGTCCATACATTCATCCCTGCAGTCTGGTTCATGGACGGACAACCGCCTTCCCTTTTTTTCTTCGTTTTTTTTTGTTATCGTCATCAGCATTATCATCATAGTCTTTCTTCGCAGCAGTGGCTTCGTTGGCATGCCGAGCACATCTTGCACTGTCACTCCACCGAAAAAAAAAAACCTTATGATCCTATAGGGGCCATAAGGGGATCTCTCTCTCCTCCCCTCCTCCCCGGCAATAATTGGCAGCTGATTCCGGGCCGAATGCCTTCTAGGAAAAAGGCGAAAAGGACCACACCGTGTTTTTCCGCAATCTCCGAAAGCCAACGACCTCGCCGCGAATTCAATTCACCCTTTTTTTCTTCTCCCCTTCTTCACCTGATCATAAAGTCTCTCCATAGAACGGGTTCTCTCTTTGGCTAGGGGTCTTTTGCGAGCATTCTTTTCACCCTCACGGTCTCGGACGGATGTTTACCGCTAGGCCCCGTGTCGTCAAACACACGAGCTCTCAAAAGCCTTGAAACTCGGGAAGGGGGTTTTCTTAAAACCAACACACGATCATTATCGTTCGATGGATGTGTCAGAAAAAAAAATGCAAAAAGGGGTGGACCGGAAGCAGTAAAGAAGGTATAATGTGGGGGAAGGCGAGCAAACTGGGCAGAAAGAAAAAAAAAGCTTCGCACGAAGGTCAAGAGGGAGTGGGCGAAGATTCGAATATGCCCCGCTGCACTTGCCCTGCAAGAGTGAATGATGCAAAAAGTGTTTAAGGCTATATTTATGGTCCGAGCTCCTGAATGGCACCTATAAAGGGAAATTGGGGAGTGGGCAGGGTCAGTGAATGGAATTCTTGGCATGATTTCGCGGGGACAAAGATGCACCTTGAGGAGAGCGTTTTTATGGCGACACATACGTCTCTTCTTACTGGGATATATCCGAGTGCGACTGTTTGTATGTGCGTGTCCGTCCTCTACAGGTGAGGTGACAACGGCCCATGGCCTTTAGGGCCGCCCTAAAAATGTGCGACAGGCCAAGAAAAGACGAACAAGCTTTTTTTCTTCTGATGGCCGTCACTTCCGGTATTCAGTGTCCCCTCCCTCTATCAAACGCCCATATGTGTCACGGCCTGACCTTTTTTTTTTTCCTTCCTTTTCTTCTTCTACTCGGTTGATGATGGGGAATCTCGACCGAAGAAAGAAGACGGGGAAAAAAAAGGTGGTCTCTCTTCAGTCACATAGATTTTCCACCCCGCTCGACTTTCTTCACCCCGGGGTTCGCTGAACTTTTCCCTGCATGACTTTCCGAAACAAAACGGGGGGAATGGAAAGGGAAATCGAGATGACAGGTTTCCTTTCCTCTCGTCTCTGCCTGTCGCGTTGTGCCGCGTCAAGTTCACGGCCATCAGCCGGAGTTCATCGCGGAGGCACCGTATGCGACAAAAATGCCTTACTCCGATGCACATCCCCCAGTCTCTCTTTAAACTTCCAAATAATTTCACTCGTTACGAGGTATAATAAACGATAAATACGTAATAAATGCTGCCGCCGCTTTTGACGAAAAATTCCTGGACCACCCTCCTACGAAGAATGTCAGGGTGGAGTTGCACTTCCCACTCGGAAATAGCAACAAAACTTTTGAGTTCTAATTCTACTTATAGACTCATAAAATGGTCCATTAGAGGCAACCAATAATGAAAAAAGCCACACAGTGAATGGAAAACGCAAAAACACCCCGCCCCTGGAAGCGAGTCGAGTCTGCCGACCGGCACGCAGACGCTCCGACGGGCTTGCATGGGGCACAGGGGCACCTATCGAGCACGTAAGAGTACGGGGACTCACGAGGAGTTGGTTCAAGGTGATGCTGTTGGCGGTGTATATGACGAGGGCGCGCGCGCTGAGGGGTCGGGTCTCCTTCAGCTTGGACGCGAGGAAGAGGCAGACGGCGCCCAGCAGTTGAAGCTGCGACTTCTGGATCTCCACCAGGCAGAGGAATCGGTCCAGGATGTTCATGGCCAGGACGAACACTTCTTCGCTGCAAGCCTGCTCCTCGCATACCTATTCAACCAAGAAAAAAAAAGACTCGGTTCAGCGCTCGAAGGGAATCCATGGAGCACAAGACGTTTACTAGATTAAGGCTAACTGAATTTGAGACGGAATCTTTGCCACTGTTTCGCATTTTAAGGTTATGTTCTTGTGAGGAATGATACATGCGTCGTAATGCATTTCTAAGGAACGGTGCGAAAAGGCAACAATACCACCTAACATCTAATCTACAGTGGAAAACATTCTTGACTGAAGCACAAAAATACAATACTTAGTATTGTGAGCGAACACACGATCACCGGCGGGTACACTGGAAGGACAAGTCAACATGGCCGCCGGGTATATTCAAAATTTATGATGAGTATAAAATGGGACGGATGGACAATGTTTCCAGAGAATGACAGCAGACATCTTTCGTCATTTCATTTTCAATCTTATTGATAAAGCATTCATCGCAGCAGTTGTCTTCTACTCCTCGGGGGGGGGGGGAAGACACTGACGTAAGAATTATGTCACCTACCCCAAGCTTCTTTGCCCGCTCGGCACCCAAAACGCGAGGACTTTTAGTGGATCGGAGAAAAACGGTTGGGTGTCTCACCGGCACCTCTGAAGAAACAATTTATCGACGGGAACACCTATTGGGAGCGGGTTCTAACATTAGCCGGGGGTCCCAGAGTCGCATATTTCAAGTGGAGTGCCGCCCTCTCTGTCGCCAAGGAGGCGCGAGAAAAACGAGTCTCCGACTCCGATTGCCGAGCCCGTGGGAAACGCATTCATTCCTTACCCCCAACATACAGTCTTATTAACGCTGCGATTCTTCGGAGGGCCGCAGACTCATCCCCGTTGATAACTCCTTGCGTGGGATGCGCGAATTCTTCGGTTTTCATCTCGTCCTTCGCCGTGATTACAGATTACATTCGCCGCCTCGACAAAAGCTCGGCTATTTCCCGTCCTTTCACGTCACGAAGGAACTATGAAGGAATTAACAGACTTAAAAAGGCCGTCCGAGTGACCTACAGATCCGAGAGATCCTCGCTTCTTCCCGATCGTAAAACGTTGGGACAAAAGAGGGAAAGAAAACAAAACCAGAGCCCCAGACCTAACGGTGTCGAGAAGCTAATGTTCATTCACGTGGCAATCTCAGAATGATGGGTTGTTCGCAAATCATTCGAACCCCGAGCCATTCAATAGGCACCGGTAGGAGCTTTTTTTTTGTTCCGCGTATCTCTTGAAACCGCTGGCGCAGGGGGGGGGGACTTGAATGCGCGAAGCTCAGGTAGGCCCATATCATAAAAAAGCCAGTCCCGAGACTCATCTCATTTCGCCCCAAGGGGCTTATTTCGACGGAAAAAGTTTGGTCTCCATCTGGTGTGATTCTGTGTCCAATTAATGCCGATTGTCGAAAACAAGATAAATGTTCATTTGACATTTGCTTTGTGAAAAATCCTGTCTGTCAGGCAGAGCCCCCTCTGGCGCTATCATAAAGCACAAGCTGAGAAACAACGTTGTGGGACATGTTGGCAACAAATTAAAATTAAATGGGCTAGTAGAAGCAAGGATAAATATTTTAAAAACCTAAAAATATGATGGGCTGACGGCTTGGAATGATGAGACTCACCTCAAGCATCCAATCTGCGACTATCCTCCTCATGTGAGGCTTGATATCACGTTGAATGCACTTGAAGTAGGAGCAAGGGGGAATATAGTTCTCTTCGGTCACCAGGAGATTCTGTAACACCCGATCGTCGTCCAACATGATCAGATCTTCGTGAGCGTGCAAAAGACCCGATTCCGCTCGGGCTTCACAGCAGAGCAATTCGTAGGCACTCAATGCCATCACGTCGCCGATGGGATTTCAGACAGCACTAGTCATAATATAAGATAGCTGGATGGAGGGGGAACAGGGAAGATAATGAACGTGAGAGAGCCCGCACGTGAGCGCGATGTTGTCGGTGCGAGCGCGAACAGCTGACTGAGGAGCTGACCCTCCTCGCCTCCCAGCTGATCGCTGGCATGTCAGCCTGCCAGGCCCTGGGCGCTATCCCCCGCCCCGCACTGTAAAGCCTCCACGCCGGGTCTCCGCTCGGTCGGGAGCGTGGCCTCGGGGGGTGCGGTTTAAGGCGCGGGGCAGTCGCAGGCGAAACAGGTTAGAGAATGCTCTCGTGTCCCCACAAAAGATGTGCCGCTTCGTCTCTTTTTACCCCTTTCCAGGGGGACAGAACCATATTTCAGAACCAAAAATAACCTTGATTGCGTTCCTTCTTCCGCCCCCAGGCCCTTCTCTTTCTCACATGTGGCCTTTTTTTTTATTCTTTGGACGTTGCACCCTGACATGACCCGACAAGACCTTGCCTGAGGGGAAAATTCTCTTGGTCTCAGCTGATCTCTAGACACCTGTTTTTGGGGAGGAATGACCTCTTGTCCCTTGGACAATGTCTCCCCTTCTCGGGTCGTTTCTTACAGGTCCTTGACTGGACCGCCTGTAGATGTATCAACTTGTCCGATTGCAATCGATTGGCAATCGATCGATGGTCGATCGAGTCACCGTAATCAGCAGACAAGTTTTTCTCTTCTTTCTCCCTAGTTAGACAATCGGTAATTAAATGTTGACTCGCCTGATGAAATCTCTTCCCCCTTCAGGGAAACCCATGGGCAGTGAGCAACCGAAAAGAATTCATCGAGGATCCCTTTGTTCCAAAGCGCTTTCGGGAAACGAACAAAAAAATTGCTATTTCATGAGGGAACGAAAATTTCCTCTCGTTCATGCATGCTGTCCTTCGAGCAAGACAAAACAAAGGAGGAAATTGAAATGCCTTCAGCACCAAGACGTGGGTGCCAATCGTTGCCATCTCGGTGAAAATTTACGGGATCCAGCGAGCCTCGATTTCAAGCCTTGATCCCGGCGCGAAATCCACGCGTGATTTCTCGAGACTCCATGCGATTACCACCTCTGCTTCACCCCGAATTTCCCCCTTTTCTCCGACCGACCATCAAGTCGACGGCTTCGCGCGCGATTTTAGGACGTCGCGTCTGACGAGTCACTCCGAAAACCCGACCGAGCAAACAAGGTCGTCCTGTCTGCGGAGGGGGAAGAGAAAACGGGTTATGCGTCTGTTCTGGCAGACGTTGGGTGGCATGCATCGCGTCCGTTTATCCGTAAACTCATCTCATTTTTTTTTTCTAATGGGTTTCGGTGGAGAGGACATCGTCTTCGTTAAACCGATTTCCAGCGAGGGTCGTTCGGAAATCAGATCGGTTTTCGGTTCGACCGAAGTCGCCGGGAAAAAACTGGAAAGCTTCTCCCGGAAAAAATTATCCCAGAAACAATCGACGGCACGCAAGGCGACGAATGGGTTTCGGTTACTCCGGAAGCCAAAATGAGAAAATTGAAGTCAAAACGAGAAAATTCGGGTCGTGGGACGGTCGACCGCGAGCGCGGAGCAACGAGGGAAGAAGGTCACGGGGTTTTCCTTTGCGGTACCGTGAGTACAGGAAAGGGGAAGGAGATCGAGAGAGAAAAAAAAAAGGATTGGAGGGAAGAGACAGAGAGGAGCTTCCGTTGGAAGACGGGAAGGCACCGGAAATCCGGAGACCAATCAGGAATAAGACTGTTGCCAAGGTCTCTCTCTCTCTTTCGTAATTTCTCTAGCCTCGATACAGTTGACCAGTTCGTAAGTCCTTCGTCTCACTCACGAGGGAGCCGTGAATGGAGGCACGGGGGATGGTGACACTTCACGCGAGATTGAGGTTCGGGTCCGATGCGTGACGTCATCTCCGTCGTCTGCTGCCGCCGTTCCCTCCCTCGCTTTCCTTCCCTTGTCCTTCCCCCCCAGCGAACCCTTTCCTTTGTATTGCCTCCATCTTTATGAATCTTAAGGTTTTTCAGGATCCAGTGATCGTCGGGGAGGAGGGGGAGGGAGAGGGAGAGGGGGCGGGAGGGCGGCTGTCATTAAAATGCCTCCCAATTGTATTTCCATTTCGATTGAGATTCCTGACGGTAATATCCCTAGATCCTCGGCCGGGCGTCTCCTCGTCCATTTCACTTTCGGAATATCACAAAGACGGACAAGGGATGAATAATGCACGGGGGCGGGAGGGGGGAGGAGGGAGAAAGTGGACAGTATCATATCGACGGTTAAGAGAACAGTTGGGAGGAACAAACTGCATGGGCGTCTATCTGATAATGCGTTAATTGGGGGGAGAGAGAGAGAGAGAGAGAGAGGTCTGGCTTAATTTTTTCCCTCTTTATTTTTCCTTCCAGCTGCTTCCGAGGAGTTGGTTTCTCTTATTGCAAAATATTGCACCTGCCCGACGCGTTGACCCGTGATGCCGGGAACGTCTTCGTCGTGCCTTTTTTTCCTTTTCCCTCCCGCCAAAACGCGAGCGAGGCGTGGCGAACGTCAACATCCTTTCCGTTTCTGCTCGTAAAAAAAAAAAAAAGGATCGGGATCTGCGAATGTGGGTCAGGCGACCGAGAGGCAATTTTCCGTCTATTTCCGACCGCAGTTGATTTAGGACCGGGGGGACGGACGCGTGTCTTTTTCTTTCTTTTCCTGTCCCTTTCGCCGGACGGACAGAAATTGCCAAAAGTTTGGACCCGGAATCGGGGTCACGTCGGTGACAGTTTGAGACAGGAAGCGAGCTTTTAACCCGGTTTTGGACGATCCCGAAACGCAGAAGCGGCGTCCGAAGTTCGAGCTCCCGATAAGTACTTATGCCAGTACTTAACGCTCTGGCGCAATGTCTCACTCGCTATATCACCCACGATAAAAGATAAGAATTGTTCTCACGCTTTTCGAGCAGGGAAAAGTCAGAAGCGACTCCCGTATCTGGCGAAATTCTTTTTGACTTCAGATAATCCAATTTCATTTCATTTCCTAGATTTCAGTCCCTATAACGCGATTGATGCGGCCCGCTCGACGGCCTTTCCTTCTTAAGGTCTTTTTTTTTTCCTACGGCGATGAGAAATCGAATATTTCGGAAGGAGGCGGAGAGGGTTTTAAATTTTCTATGCCTAATTTTTATTTTGTCGATTGCGTGCCTTTTCGGTGACGACGGGATTCAATTTGCCCTGTCCCATTGTTTCCAATCTCACGGTAAACAATTATTAACAATTATTATCCTTACCACGCCAGAATATGCGAGCAAGGACAAAGGAAAGAAAAAGAAGAGCAAACAATGGAAGAGAGGGTTTCACCCCTTCCTGCCGAAAGTGCATACAGGGGGTGAGTGCCCCCCCCCCCCCCCCCCCCCCCCCCTCCCCCCCCCTACGGGGGGGGGGGCCCCCCCCCCCCCCCCCTTCCCCCCTTCCCCCCATGATCGAGGGGCATATTTTGAGGTCCACCCCCCTCCGAGTGGCCTTCCGAGAGGCTTTTAGGGTCGTTACTGCCTTAGGGGGGACACTTCAACTGCTCATCCAAATGTTCATCCGAATGCCCATACAAAAGTGCAATGCCGTTCTGGGAATCTGTTGCCTCGTAGATGTGAAGTGTGAATTTCTGCTATCGCATCCTGTTTTATCTGCATCAGACGAGAACCAATCCTCTTTTAATCAGCTAGCTCTGACGGAAGGCAAGGAAATGGCTCCATTTCTGACTCACTCTCTCGTGTGTGTTCCTCTTTGGTCGCCCGATTATCAACCGGCGGCCACCCACACATGCACCGGGAAAAAGAAAACTTCCCGTCGCCCGTTCTATGGGAAAATTGCGATATGACATGACGCGTTTGGTGCCACGACTGCACTCGTGAATGAATTTTTGAAGTGCCCTGGGAGTTTCGTTGACACGAAAGAAAAAACAAAGTCGTTGATAAGTTTCATGTATGGCTGGACTTTCAATTTTAAAAGCTGAAGTTTAAGTTCTCGTCTCGTTTGGTCTAATTATTGGGAGTTGTTTTAGAGGGTTACTAATAGACTAACTCACTTGACAAGTAATTTACTTAATTAACTTATGGCCACGATACAATAAAACTGACAACTCAAACTTCAGCCCCCCCGGGGGGGAAGGGGGGGTGGGGGGGAGAAGTTCTTTGCTTTCGCTAAAAGTCTGAGCGAAACATAATCTGATTAAGACTGCTCCAAAGCTCATAGTGTACATTTAAAAAATAAAATTAAATTAAAATAGATTAAACTTTTATTTTAAATGACGCATTAAACTGCTCTTTAAATCTATTACCTTTCCAACAACGATGGGCAAACGAACAAGTTCGTTTTAGACTGCAACAGAGAGCAATTTTTGAATTTAGCATCACTTGAGCGACCACAGCTGGATTTATTGGCGAAGTCGAAAAGAAAACGGGTGAAAAGGAGGTGAAAAGGGGGTGAAAAGGGGGTGAAAGGGGGGTGAAAAGGGAGTGAAAAGGGATTTCATCTTGCCAGGTAATGGAATGGGTCTGAACTGTCAGCAAGAAAAGTTTAAGGTCGTACTTTTTGTTAATGGAAAATGCTACAGCCTGCAAGGCACTTGGAAGGGTTGCAACTTCATTCAACTGTCTCAGTGGTGCGATAAATTAAAAAAAGTATATATATATATTTAGATAAGAGGGGTGAAGCATATCGCCCCCAGGAATTTTAGAAATCTCGAAGAAGTGAATATTCATGAGGAAAAAAAAACCGTCGGGATCCTTTAAAGATGGCTCGGGCCATTCGTTAAACCTTTTCGGGAGCCATTCGTTAAGCGCGCGAGGTGAGGCAAGCGCCCCCACACGTGAGGCAAGCGCCCCCACAGGTGAGGCAAGCGCCCCCACAGGCGAAGAGAAACGGCGTCGCTTCCGAATCGGTCACGATCACGTGTTTAACGATCGTTCGGATTTCTCAGGGCTTCAATGGAGTCTAGATGAAAGAAGATGGATTAATCTCGATTAATCTCGGCTCTAGATGGATTAATCTTGATACGTCGATGTCGACTTTGATCGCTCAAGGCGCTAGACATCTGCTTTCAAAACTTTTTCTATCATTTCTGATTTAAACGTCTCAAAAACTGCAGAAGAGGCTCAAAGGGTTTTTACTTTTTTTTTTAAACTTAAAACTTCCTTAT